ACGAGTCCCCGGCTGGATTCTTTGTTGTAACAAATTTCAACAGGTTTTTTTTTTCCTTTCAACGCACAGTGGTGTAACATCCTGGGTGCCCCCCCTGGAAAATGACACAACCCAAAAATGTGCTCTCTCGCCCAGGTCTCTCCGGTAGTTTCGTAGCGGTCACCACTCCGCACAAGGACACTTTTCTTTGTCATCTAACGCATCGTCCCGATCAGAGAGTTCGTTGTCACTGCAAGCTCGGAGGGATCGGTCCCGTGGAGATATACCCCTTGTGATCTTGTCAGCATTGTATGAATAAGCGGGTGTTGTGTTGGACACCGGTGCGATGTTTGCCAATCGCACAACATCTGATATCACAGGTTATTTCGGTATTTCCGGGCCAGGTTTGTGTATATTCCCGCCCTGATTATTGTTTTTCTACGTGACACTCAAACCAAATCACAGGACAGGAGAAAGTCACCACCATCGGAATAACATGTCGTCTTTATTTCAGGTTTCTCGATGAACTGACTGAGATACAGGTTTTTAAAAATTGAACACTGGCGGGTTTATTTGACTGAATGTAACATTTTATATAACTACATAAAGTTTTTTTTTCTGAAGCTTCACGGCGGCTAACGAAATATCGAAACGTGTTATGACCAAGAAACATGTCATGACCGTGTACATGTATAATAATCCGTATCTAACCGGATCTTACCACAGTCGCTTCGCTGGCTACAAATACATGTACCTACGCCTAACACGCACATGTCAACAAACGTAGCCATTGTCAGTGGTGTTATTAAGGAGTGGCCGGATGATGCGTCCCTCGGACCTCCTTCGTTGAAGTCCGTGGCCCAACCCCTCAAACTATTGGAAAAGTTGAGATGTATGCCAATGCGAAATTGTTTCGAATGGTCCCTTAAAAAAATGATGTGTAACCTCCAGTCTCCCGTCAGAATTACACCACAGCTCAACAAAGAGCTCTGCGCAGTTCATGGGTGGAGAATGGTTCTAACTGCTTGGAAAAAAAATTGTTCTGGATTCAAGACGCTTAGGTGTTGACTGAACTCAAAATTAGTTTTATAATGCCGAAGAAAATCGTGCAACCTCTTCCGGAACTGTGCTCACCAAACTGCGCCTCCACAAAGTTAAATTAAACGAAGCCAGCCTGTTCCTAGCTAACGTATGATAAAAACAATCCCAAGAACAACACTTTAATTTCGTCCTCCAACATCATCGATTGGAACTTGATTTCCAATTTCGGTTTCAATAAACAATCACAGAATTTATTTAAAGTGCAGAATGATTCAAATCTGAAGCATTTCCGAATCGTCCTCATTAAGGTAAATTCGTCTTGTGTTGCGATTGGCGTTGAAAAGAAAGAGCGCAATCGTCTTTTCATTCATTTGAGCAATTTGATAAATGAAACTCAGAGAGTGCATAATTTTATTTGTACACGAGCTACTTCATCTTAATGCCTAATTTCCATGTTTAAAGGCAAAGAATTGATCATAAACAGTGAAAAGCTACATAAACACATTGGCGTATTATTTACACAAAAGGAAAGGTCGTGTGAGGTCTATTTCCAAGTTTCCTTTCCGAGTTTCAATTCATCAGAGAAGTTCTGAAATAAAAAGCATGCAATCGATTCGTATTTTGCAAAATCAAGAAAGAAATAACAAGAGCAATAACCCACAAAAACACCTTGCTCCAAAAAATTAGTCCAAAACACTGGACGCATTTGTAAATCGTAACGGTTCATATCACCAGAATGTTAAAACTGAAAACTCTTATGATACATGTGTCATTAAAAGATAAGGAGGCGATGACACTGAAAGCAACATACAACGTAGAGCCCGAAAATTGGCTTAAAACAGTAAACTTGAAAGCACAAGTTACATCATGCGCCCTCCATTTTACTCGCCTGCACTTAACAATGTTAACGAATTCTCACACGCCGCTTGTATGCGTAACAATACCTGTTTCTTCTGTCAGTCGTGAAAGCATGGACAACATGGAATGGAATGTAAAACTGCGTCCGTTTGGCAGTCAAAACCTTAGATGGTCCGTTTGAGAACTTTTAGAATTTACACGGTGTTGACTGCTTGCCGCATACTTGTTCAAGATAAATAAAAACATTTAAACGTCAATTTGTGGTTGTAGTTAAGGAAATCGAGAAATAATCTTAAGAGTATAAAAAAACAACCGGATATCTTACTGTTTCCGATCTTGCGGTCTTAACTGTTTGTTAGATATCTCTTGATATCGGGACTTTAGTGACTAAGGTAAGATGAATTCACGGATCGCAACAAGTCCTAATATGAATGTGATAATGCATTCTCTTTCGATCCTTCCCTCCGCGGTCCGCAAAGTATTATTCTTCCGTTAGCCATTTTGGTAGGTCAGCAACTCAGACAGGGCGAAGTCGCTCGCTGGTGACTAGTTAGCATGCGGCCGCACTGATGAGAATCAAGAGTGCTGACCTTCCGCGTGCATGTTGCAAGCATGGAGATCATAAGGTTGCAGGCCAGTAAATAAACAGCCTTAGCCAACTGTGATAAATACCTGAACTTCAAAAAATCAGGAAAAATATACGAGTTTCTCAGGCATTCGAGACGCGCATCAAATTAAAGCCCATTTTAGGATTTTTCATTGTCTTTGCAAATTTTTATTTATTAACCGATGACTTTTAAAGATATTTTTTCCACGGAAGGTCACCCCTAAACAACAGTCGTGAATCCCCTTCACTATTTTAAAATATCGATGCATGCACTTCTCAAACAAATAGACCGCTTTCAGGAACTGATTTCTTCCAAATGCCACTCAGACACAAGCTGGCATTCGGTTTTGTCGCCAAAACGTGTCTTTCCTACAAATCTTTATGTTCATGGACCACAAAATACTCTATTTTGTAGAAATTTCCAGTGCATACAAATTGTGGTTTGACCCGCGCAAGCAGTTTTCGGCCTCCTATTTACTGGCTTGCAACCTAGAAGTAGAACTATAATGTCTCTGTTGTTGCTAGTCCACTTCCTGGACTGCGTTGGTGTTGGGAGCGTGACTCCAGCCTGTGTGCATGGCAGTATTTTGCGAAATTGTCCATCGATAGGGGGCGGTCATATACACAGAACCTGTGTGTATGAAGGTTTTGCACAGTCTGCGGATTTCACTTAAGGGAGGTGAAAGAAAAAATAAACACCGTCCGGATTCTGGACTCGTGTGTTGCTGTTCCCAAGTAACCTCAGACGCGCTAATGGTTTGGTCCTGGCTGTATCCCGAACCACTCGCTCCAAGTCACACTGTTGTCTCGTCGTCCTCCAGGCTTTCCGTCTCAGAATCCAACGCTTTGAAGCGTACCTTGGAGTGGGTGGTGTTGGGAGCGCACCCTGCGTTCTTTTCGCTGGGGTTGCGGAACAGAAGGAATCTCTCTCTGGGTTGTCTGACCCGGAATCGCCTCCTCGCGTGGACAAAAGCCGCGGCCCAGAACAACAGAATCAGAGCGGACACAACGCCGAACCACGTCCCGATCAAGAGTAACAAGTGGTCCCGCTTTGGATATTTCGAGCACTTCAAATTCCGCACGACCTCTACTTCCGAACTGTAAAGTGTGATATTCTCGAATTCCCGAGGCCAGCTGCAAGTCACATAGTCGCTCAGAAAGTACCGTCCGTAGCCGACATCGACCGTCCACGAGAGATGGCAATCACACGCCCACGGGTTACCATAGAGGTTTATCGTTGCCGCGGCGTAATCGGGTAGCGACATAATTGTTGACTTTCTTAGTGTCTGGAGCTTGTTGAAGGATACATCAAGGTCCATTAACGACGTACCTCTAAAGGCACGTCTCCTTAACCAGGTCAACTGATTTTTCTTTGCGTCCAAAACCTGTAACGAACTCAGACTGTTAAGTAGTGGCAGTCTGGTCATTTGGTTCTCAGACAAGTTTAAAACTTTCAGCATCGACAGGCCGAACAGATGGTCGTCCGGGATGTCTGTGATCGAGTTTTCGCCGAGACATAATTCTGTCAGAGAGGTTACGTGGCTGGACGACAGAAAATTCAAGTCAGATAGGCCGTTCCCAGTCAAATCGAGAAATTCCAGTTGACTCGTGTTGTACAACAGGTCAACAGGGAGATCTGTCAATTGGCAGTATTTAATTTTGAGGATCCTAAGACTGAAGGTGTCGCGAAACACTCCGGGGGGAAGAGCGTAGAGCGGTGAGTTTTTGTTGAGCTTGAGTGTTTCAAGCATTTGGAGGTCTTTGAATAGGTCTTCGGGGATCTCTTGTATGTAATTCCAGCTCAAATCGAGCACGGCCAATGCCGTCATGCCTTGGAAGCACGAAGGGGAGAAAAAATCGATTAAGTTCTGCGAAAGAATGAGCGTTGCCAGACTTCTTGGCTGCGTGGGTGCGAACCAGGAGCGCACGCTCAGTTCGCCGAGTGATTCGGACTGGTTGTAAAGTGTCCCAATACGGTTGGAGGAAAGGTGCAGTTGTTCTAGACGGCCACAAGCGCTCAGCGACCCGATGGGGATCTCTTCCAGGAAATTGTATTTGAGCATCAGTACACGGAGCATGCCCAAACCGGTGAATGCGCCGGGGTCGATCACATGCAGAGCATTGGAATTCAACGACAGGGACTGCAACTTTGTCACGTTGAGGAAGCTGTCTGCGGCCAAGTACGTGATGTTGTTTCTGGCTAGATCAAGGGTCCGGAGCGACTTGAGCCGCTGCAGTGCCGCCACCGGCACGTTGGACAATTTATTCCCGCTCAAAATAAGCTGCATTAGCTTTGGTTGGCCCTCGAAGGCATCATCGGCTATCTGAGAGATCTGGTTGTCAGCCAGGTCCAGAAGACGGAGCTGACGGAACCTCAGCAGGGTGCGTCCGGTCAGATTGGCGATGAGGTTCCCGGGGAGGTAGAGTGCCCGCGTGTTGTTGTGCACGGTCTTGTAGGGGATAGACGGGAGATCCAGATCCGGGCACCTCACGAGCTGAAAAACACTTTCGCACGTGCATCCCTCCCAACAAGATGGTGAGAGAGACGGGCCGGTGTTCGAGTCCAGAGGAGGTAGGCTGGCCCCGACTGCAATGACGAGAATGGCGAGGCTTCCACCTCTCCAGCACCGGTACGACGTCATGGTGGTGGATACCTGGCCGTTGAACTGTGCATTCAAATCACCACTTTGTTGTGTCTAGACACAGGGACCTATTGTATCACCCGTCCATTATCTTTGACAAGTGCCGATTTCACTTGACACTCCATGCGCGTGCATTTTGTGCCTCAACAGTAGCCGACAGCTAATGGGCTGTTACGCTCTTCAGTCTTGTCTGCTTATCACATAGTCACATGAAAAAAGGTGATTCCCCCCACAGTACATTAAGGTGCTAACACCTCGGAAAGTTTGTACGGTTTATTTGCTCTGGGTGGCGCGGTAGCGAGATATCGTGTAATCTCGTATGGCGTGCGGTGAGCTACGAAGTGACGCGTGCAGGATAGTGTAAAATGTCACGTTTTATCTCTTCAGATTTCAGAGAGGATCGATGCGTATTTTATGCTGTCGACATGCACGGCGTCATTCGAACGAGAGTGATGACTATCAGCTGCTCACAGTGCGTGCAAAGTTGAGGGCTGGACAGGGACGTGCCTCCTTCCGTGTAATGGAGATGGGTCCGGATGACAATTCTGCCGAAGTTCTTGTCAGACAACCTTAGGCCCCTAGAGCTTTGGACGCTCAGCCGAGTGCCGGTCAGGTAGCTCGCGTACTGAGGTGGACCTTGCCCAAGTTCAGTAAGAATCGAGAACATCTGTTATATGGGACAGCCTCCTGTATATAAGAGGGGGAGAAAAAAATCTTAGCTATTCGTTCAGGACGTGGCAAAATCATGGCAAAAATGCACTCTTCGAAATCACGGGGGTCCGAAAATTGACGGACAGCAAGGCCAAACTGGAGTTGAGCAAGTTCTGACATCCTAGTATTGCAAATCTTCCATTTAGGCCTAAATTGTGTATGGCAAATTAAAATTTGATGAAGTTTTCTTTCTAACCACCTGGGAAAATTTATATATGCACCCGTCGTTCGCGTCACTAAAATTAACACCGTATTTTCAAGAAACTAATAAAAAGTACACGCGCTCAACTTGAAGTGCTTGTGGGAAAATTAATTGCGCCCCCTGTTGATTGGAGGAAGTTAGCCCCGCAAACAGCTGATCATGTCGCGGGTCTGTTCTTCGATTGTGTATGTTTTGCGAAAATCTTTGAACGTTTCTTCCAACATGTAAAAGGGTGATGACATTTTTAAAGACTGACTGCAAGTGAGATACAGAAACTGAGCAAGGTGATAGTTTGAAACTGTTTATGGTGAACATACTATTTTTGAATATGCCAGCGTTTACGGTTTGTGTAAACTGCACGAACTGTACGCCTACTGACATGACTGTCAGACAGTATCCTAATCTGCCCTAGTGCCGGTGTACATACAATATACACCGGGATGGTGAGATTTGTACGCGTAGGCTGTAGAGGCGTACCGGTGTCGAGCCATGCCACAAAACTAGCAAATTAAATGTCAACTGACTAACCATGGAGACCAACTTCCAACTTTGCATGTGCCAAACTTTGGTTGGAAGGAAAAAATTTATGTGAAAAAGGCCACAGACTAGCAATCAACATCATGTGTAATTGGGTTGAGGTTAAAATAAGAGAAAAGCAACACATGAAAAAAATGGACAATCGGGGGAAAGGTAACCCTGTTTGGGTCCTGTGAACATGATGATATAACCATTTGTCACTACAGCCTTGACACAAATACATGTACGTGTAAAAACCCTTTAAACCTGTTAAAACTTGTATTTGCCCAGTTCTTGCAATTTGATTTAATTGCACAAGGTTTCAGTTCTGCATGACCAAAGTTTGGCTGGCCTCAACTATAGTATCATGGGTTTAAGCAGTGACAAAGCTTGGGTGTAAAAGCAGGACATTGATTAACATGTTTGCTCTGTCCGTGATGCATCTTTAGCGCAGCTTTAAGCTTAAAAACATGTACATGTACATTTTGCCTAACTTAATTGGGAATTTTTAATAAGAGTAACAGTCCCAACATTTCTGGGGTTTTGATGCCCCCTCGGAGAGCGCAGCATGCAACAAAGGATATAGCAATCCCATGTCATGGGTGGGGCAACTAGGGGGGATGGGAAGGGATGGGGAATTTAATGGCTGATGAAACTGAGAGATTGTAGTACATCAAGTTTTGCTCATTACCTGCAACGTACAGACATTGTGTAGACATGCTCTATGTTTTGGTGTAAGTACATGGAAGTGGCTAGGACAATGTTTTACATGTCAATCACCCTTTGTGGGTTGGCCAGATTCCCTGAATAGGAAACCTTGTAAAATTAAAAGTTGTTTCTCTTCTTGGATTTTTGAAGAAATGGGGGTGGAGGCAGTCTTTTTTTTTTCAAGATTATAAGATGTGATTTGTTTTCCCGCAAAGGAAATTTTTTATACCAGTAATTATTTTGATTTTAAGGATAATTTTGTGTCTTCAGCCAACCCTGACAGTCCTTGATCCTTCAATTTCAGTATAATTTTACTCACACGGTTAGGGTTAATAGGTCAATTCATGAAGCCCCACCCCCCACCTCTGCAGAAAGTGGGAGGGGGGATCATGCTCCTCCCTCCATCAAATAGTGGGTGGGTCCTGCCCCCTTCCCTCCCGAATTCAAAAAGGCCAGCTTTTTTGGTGCCGTGCTGAATAGAGCTGTTTCCTTGCCATGTGTTCAGGATTGATTATAGCCAGAATTTGTAATTATTGACATCAGGAAACAAAGGTAAGGTGACAACAGGACCTCGTGTGACAAGTACCGGTACATGAACATTACATGTACACTGTACGTACGTTTGTTGGATGGTATTTGGGCTAGTTAAAAAATGTAGTCACCTAAAAATAATGCACCCAAAGTATGACCCTGTCAAGTGTGAACTTGTCTCCCTGCAAGGCACCGAGTAACACTGTACTGAATGGCCGACTCTATCTTGCTGAGCACTGTGTTTTTCTGAGAATAGCTGGACTATACATGCACACCTAGGCAGACCGGTATGGAAGCAGGTGCACTGGAGATAAACCCTGATGCACAGGACTTGACTTGGTCAATTAGGCTCAGACATACATGTATTCAGTTACTCGAGTACGTGTCATTGTCCATGTCCATGATGCACCGGTACCTGTAGGCATAACATTTCCATCCAATTCATATTGGGCTTAGCAAGATGTAACATCCCTCATCAATCCACACTTCTTTGAATATTCAAAGCACATATTAAAGTCTGACAATGTTTCATTTCAAGTCATCGAGTTCATAGATAAGTCTTGAAGGTTTGCATGGTGAAGAGGTATTTAATAGAAAGTAGGTTTGCGGTAGCACCATGGACGTATCTCTTTTGTGAGTATTTGCGGTTCTGAAAAGAACCAGTGCTCTGCTCGTCATCAGGAGAATGCCGGATACTGTCTAATCCCTGTCTCCAGAATCCTCCACCAGACTACTTAAGCTCCACTCCTAGTTAGTATCCGGCATTCTCCTGATGACGAGCAGAGCATACTGCTTGAAACGTCGAGTACCACTGGTTCTTTTCAGAACCGCAAATATTCACAAAAGAGATACATGTACGTCCATGGTGCTCCCGCAAACCTACGTATATAAATATAATCATATAAATATCTTTATTTTTGCTGTCTTTTTTTTGCTGAAGGGTCCACATACTATATCTGATCATATCATAAGCAGGGCTTGACATACATGTATGTTTGATCAATCCGCTTCCCAGGGTTTTGGTTCATTTACCCTTGGAGAATTTAAAACTCTGTATCAGAATGTAATACAATGATTGATAATTTTATTACTTTCAAGGTTTGAAAAGGCTTTGGCACATTGAAGATGCTTCTATATATCAAGTGAATTATACCTTTAACATTAAGAGTACGTTGCACTTGTATCACTTCCTTTGAATGGTGTTTGAGAGGGAAAATAGGATGACAGCGCACTGCTGACGCATGAGCGTCTACTGAAATGCACTAAGTAGGCCGCGAAAAATCAGCACCGTAAATGGCCAGAATTAAGGTTTGCTAGACTCGGCAAGCAAAGTGCACAGAAAGTGCTCTGTGCAGTTAGGCATGGCGTAATGCTGCAGGCACAGAGATTAACACTGTCTGGCAGAGGGGGGTTGTGAGTTTACAGCCGTGCATGCATACTATACATTGTTTGGATGTCCTTTATTGGCTCTGCTTACAGACTGAAGAGGGCGCTATTTACCGTAGCCCTGATATGAAATCAGGTTGAGGGCACTTAGCGATTTTGACGCTTCATGCACACTGACCATCTGTTGAAATTTGGAAAATTCAAAGTGTTTAAAGGGAGGGTTTCTCCCCTCACACATGAAAAAATCATGCACTATCACTCAAGGGAAACAAGAATCTCTCTTTAATAAAAGTTCACCCAAATTCATCGGAGAGCGGCAAAGATAAAGATCCATGATTGTTACCAGATAACGGCAAGAGATAAGACACATTGTCCTTTGAATGTAACCGCTGGAAGCACAGTTCGTATTATCTTGACACGTTGAAAAGATGGTGGAGTGGATGTTAAAGGAAAGTTTAGGAAAATTCTGCTCCTGGGGTAAACCATCCGATTACTGAAATGATTGAAAATCAGCCAGTTTTGTGCAGAGTAAGTTGATTCGGTTTCTGAAACTGTTTGTGTCTTTAATGCACACTGCAAAGTGTGTCTGTCGTCTGCCAAAGCAGCTAAGTTTGTATAGCTACATACAATGAGTGGTGGATGGAGGCACATCTTGTCAAGTGTCGTGGTCAAGTACACGGACATACATGTACATGTACTTTGACCATGACCCAAGTAGTGTGAATTCAACATGGCTGACTCTTAGTTGAAGACTTCCTCCTGTTTCATACACATTGATTTGAATTTTCTTTGTCTCTTTTCCATTGACAGGACCAGGCTGAGACTAAGATGGCTCAGAAAGAAAAGAGAGTGAAATTAGAGGCGGAGCATTCGGAAGCCACACCTCAATCAGCAGCAAGATCAGCCAAGCAGCACGTCCTTGTAGGCTGCACAGGCAGCGTCGCCTCAATCAAGCTCCCTCAACTTGTCCAGGAACTGCTTAGGCATGAGCAGGTACATGTAAAGGGAGAATTGGAAACAGCCCGGGGGGGGGTCAAGTTGTCAGTTCTCTGCAAGACGTACTTGAAATGAACAATGCCGTGAATGTTCTCACCAAGACCTCTGCACTCAGGAAGCAGGAATCCCATCACATGTTAATGTGTCGTGGTTGTACAATGCTGTAGACAAGGGCTGCACGTACGGTATCTTGACAATTCCACAGGTACATGTATATGTATACTTACACTTGTTTTATTTCAATTTGACATTCATAGTACCTAAGGCAGTTTAACAATTCATATTGGCCGAGAACCTGTCACATGGCTGGTCTTAAGCATTAGATAAAGCACTGGCTGGCTGTGCACCACCTTACCTATATGCATCACATGTGCGCTAATATCCTTATAAGGAGACTGTTTACAACTGCTCGCGAGAGGAATACGATAACCATAACATGGCTAGAGGGGTTTTTTAAAAAATGGAGTAACATTGCCAAAGAAAATCCTTTGGAAATTGTTAAATTTGTTGTGACTTTCATTGTACATGTACAGTACCGGTACTTATTATTGCTACATGTGTATATATATGTACCAGTATGATTCATATCCCGTGTGAAGATGGAGCACAATATCCCCTCCCCCCCAAAACAAAAACAAAAAACTGGTGACCTGCATGTACATTAATGTTATTTTATTTTTCTAGGGATAGTTGGACTCGATCTGAGTCATTCCCCACCCCTGACAAAATCCTAGATTTTCCTCCTGGAGCACAGAAGTTAAATATTCATCTTGTACATTACAGCAGACAGGATATTGTCAACCCCGTAAATTGGTAATGAGGATTTAAAAGTTGTTTTCAATCAAAGAAAGCAGGGCCTGTGTCTGTAAGTACCGTATGTCAGAGTCTCATAAATGTTTAAACTTGATGATTTAATGGATCTGTGATACCCTATTATGGTTGCAATGTACAAGTCATCTGGGAGTCAGTCACTGGCTCTGCAATTTTGTGGACCGTTCCAGGCTGCACTCACTGTAAATACAATGATGATCGGCTTCGATTACTGCACACCAGATTACACCCAAATATTGGATTTTACACTCTGGCGACTACGGTAGCTACGCATAATGCTGCAGCTCGCTAGCCAATTGCCTCGTTTGACCGCCCACGCTTGGACATACCGTACGCAAAAAAAAAAAAGACATATGAAATTGAGGACCCTCAAGCATAGGGGATGCTCCTGTTACAAATGGATAAAATTCACCCACAGTCGCTGGTCTTGCACATGTACAGTGTATTGATCTGAGCATTTGCATACTACATGTAAATTCAAGGGATCCGTGATGTATATTTTGAGGAATTTTCTTTTGGTTTTGCAACTTTCCCCCCTTAAATATGAGAGAAAAGCGTGAGACCTCTTTTTTTTAGCTACTCTCCATGAGAGTGCACTTTTGGTCAGAAATATGCAAATTTCCACTAGAAAAAGAAACTGAAATGCTCAACATAATTTGAAAACTCATACAAAAGAGCATAAACTAGAAAGTTCCTCACTAAAAAAGAAATTAAATTGTATGATCCCTTTAAGGCATTACGAGAGGTTACCCGGTACATATAAGTCAGCCTAAACTAAACTTTTGCACTTATATGTTTCAGAATTTGCACCACAGCTTGTAAACAGAGAGAATGGATGAAAATCTACTAGCACACTACAAGAGTGCGGACATTTTATGATTAAATTCGCTCCCCATTTCAATCAGTTAGCTATCCAGCTACAAGTACATACATACATTCATGTTGGGCAGCCTTCAAGAAGAACATTTGTCCGGCCAGAAATTCTAAAGCTGCTTTCAAGTACAATGTACAGTGTACTGTACATGTACTTACCGGTGCATAGTGCCCAGTGCATGTGCTGTTTGCTTTCCCAGTTTTTCCTAGTTAGATCACAAGTGAAAAAGTATGCTAACTTGCGATTCAGTCACAGTGAGATTTCAACAAGCTTTATCCATCAATTTTCATTTGATTTCATTTCCAGTTTTTATATGAACTTTCTCGACAAGTGCTACACTGTAAATCTACATGTATATGGATACCTCATGTACCCTGCTACGTACATGTAGACACATACACAGTCTCTGTACTTGTGGCAGATTATGTAATGGTACCGCACACGATTCTGTGTGTTACCCGCATTTGGCCCAGGCCACAGTGAGTGACCTCACTGTAGTCCGGAATATTGTACGTCCCAGAAATTTCTTGTATTGCTGATGATATTTCCAGTTGTCTTGTGTACGTTCTAGAGGTTTCTTATAAGATTAAGCAATGCTAAAAAAGTCTATGTTCAGTAACTTATGTAAAGAAAACGTTTGTGGAAGAGTTTACGTTGTAGGCTATAAAAGATGGGCTCTGGCAGGCAAAGACAGAGAGACACACACACACAGCTAGAGAGATTTTGGAAGGCAATTCTACCGTTTGTAGGCTGTGAGAAGTCTTTGACTTGTTGACTTCTGCACCGTTCCAACCTGTGGTGGCGAGTCATCTGTGGAGCGACACTTGTAAGAAAAGTTCGTCCTGACCACGTGAAGTGCAGAGCTGAATCTCATTCCAGAAGAGAGAGTTTGTGAACTGAATCCAGTTCCACTTAGTAGGATCATCAAGTTCCAGTTTTTACAACGGTCATCACACCCTTCGCCGTTTGGTCCCGGTCATTCTATTCTTATGGTCTTTGTCCCCATAACAGCTCATTTTTGTACTATCAAGGTCTGAACTGGTTTTCGCCATCTGTGGACAGGTGGAGGCAAGCATTCTTCACTGTAGTGCCAGCCAAGCTCTTGCCCGTAAGATCATCTTATTTAAACAAGATCTTTCCTTGATTCTTTACCCTTATCATTGTAAACTAGTTCCAATCAGTATTTTCTTTGTTGTTCTTACTTTTTACATGGTGAGTGTAATATTCTCATTAAATCATACGGTACTTGTTTATTCGTTCCTGATATCAGTCAGATTTTCTTTGACTTCTTTGTTGCATTGGATAAAACTCAAGCTTAAGAATAATTACTATTCTTAAATAGTTGAGTTTTTCGGTTCGTAACAACCCGACCAAAAAGTAGTGGAAACTCAATTTCCAGAGACCTTCAAATAGTCCACGAGTTCTGCAAGACCATTTAAGTGTAAATCTCAATAAATGATTTCCAGAGTCTGCACTTAATGCATGCGTATACATGGACAGGTTCGTGTACATGTATGTGTACAGTAGCTGTCACGTTGTTTAAGTCAAGTGTTGCCCTCCACTCCAAGAAATGTCAAGACAGCAAATTCCCAACCCCCCCATCTCCCCACCGCATCACCAGATACCTACATCTGCACGTACTCTGCCTTTGCCTCGTCAGCTTCTGGAGTCTGTCAGTGCATTGCTCTGTGGTCAGTGCACTTCAAGTGGAGGATATTGGCATGTCTTACGCTACGGTAGTAACGGTACATGTACGTGTAAGTACATTGGGAACTTGAACATGAATTTCTTGCATCCATTTCTTGATCCCGTTTGGCCTGTTTGAACCGAACTTATGTTGTCATGACCCGTTGTATTATCAACCAGTATAAGAGCTGCAGTATGTATGTCGTTACTTTTTTTGGACATGGCTGTTACTTTTTTGGACATGGTTGTTACTTTTTTGGACATGCCTGTAGAATGTTTAATCTTTCAATTTTTTAAATGAATTATGTTATCTGCTGTTTTTTTATTACGGGAAGGCTTTATTGGTTGCCTGTGCAAAACTTCTAACTATTAGGGCCCTGATTCAAAATGACATAAGGATTAATTAAAATTACAAATAATCAAAGAATAATTTAAAACAATAAAGTCGTTAACACAGCAAAAATTGAAATACACAGCAGTTTAAAAAATTGAAATATGAAATGTGTAAAACAAACATCAAGACTTAAAATTCTGTATAAATCACTTCTGAAAAACGTGCCCCTAAAAGTGTAGAGGCAAGATGGGAGAACAAGAACGAGATAATACACTGAATGAACAATACCAAAAAAGAATATTAAGCTGATAAGAATACGAGGAAAAATAAATGTATTCATAATTGAAGGGACAGTACAAGGGGCAGTTGGATCATAAAATTGCTACGAAGATGGAGTGACAACTCTAGAAAAGGCTTCTCAAAATGCCAACAAAGCTTCTCCAACTGCCAACAAGGGCCTACCCGAGAACCATTTTTTGGAAGAAGAGAGTCCTTTCTCATCCGCGGTGTGTTGTCTGTGATTAATCCAGTGAGGAAAGCAGGAAAGACGCTGGGATTACATACCAATATGTTGAGTTTTTTTTAAAAATAAACAGCCCAACAGGATCCCAAGGGAACAAATTACCATCCATAATTGGATTCGTTGACTTGATGCAGACTACATGTACATGTACGTGTACACACTCTCATATTGGAACTTCCACAAAAACTACCTCGTTTTCATGTTAATGTCCCTATTTTCTGTACCAGAGAAAGAGCTAGTTGAAAAGAGCTACTTTACGTGCCCCAAATCTGTACCTTTTTGCCCTGTGGATACGTATGCCAAGCCCGTGTCGTTTAATCCCTACTTAAAGGTGTCTTCAACGAGGCACTCGACTCCAGTTGACTTTACACATGTACGTTCTGTCTGATTAGAACGGGTAGATGAGCTTTGAACAGTGACAGAAGTGACCTGTCGCAGCTTTTAAATACGTTGTGTTACAAATGCACTTAAATGCTATAAAGGCTGCAGAAAAATCAACCATTTTGCATTTACCATTTTTCCTATTCACCTTCTCTGCTAGGTCTGATCATATCTGTCTGATTTTCAAAATTACTGCCGCGTCAGTCGCACAGCAAAATTTGCAGTTTAAGGAGGAAACCAATATCTGCAAAATGTGCAAATGAAAATCGACCGTTGTCCACGTACAGCATCGTCCCACAGCCACATGTTCGTATGCGATGTAGTCTGCACAACAAACAGTCTTTCCAACCGCCAGTTAGGTTGCAAGC